CTTACAGAGCCAAAGTTCTTAGCAATTCACATGCAAAGATGCTCTGAGAAATCCCCCGTCAGTATTAAGAACAAAATTGTTATCTGACGAACCTTGCTGAAGTCTACAAATGGATAATGTTGGGCAAACATGTTCATCCTCGGGTAATTGAAGTGCAGTGTGCCAAGTGGCCCCTTGGTTATGTGTGTTTTTATAGTAGAACGAAAGCATATAGTACCAGAATGGTGCTTTTCTTTGACATGCAGCCTTCCACTGGGAAGTCACAGCAAATCTGTATTGCCTATAAGCCAATTTAATTACGTGGACTCAGTGAAGTTTGCAATCTGAAAGCAAGGTCAGACTGGACAATTATCCACCATTCCAGAGGGAAATTACAAAATTGAAATTGGGATTAAACATCAAGACCACTCTACCTCAAAGTGGATGTTTCCATGCAGTGCCATCAGTCCAAAAGATTAATAGATCCCTGTCATCTGATCGGTGTGTTGTGGATTGTATGTCGTTTGGTTATGGGAAAATTCAATCGTGCTGTTGTTAAATATATCCCTTTAGTATACCATGGAGTACTGGTATGCCGACATGTGGTTGATTTAGTTGGAAATCTTACCAAGATGAGAAAGTAAAACATCAACTTGTGCACAAGAAGGATTTTCATTATTCATGCAGTGGAAAGTATAATTTCTTTCGGTGACAGATTTGATGTTCCATTTTACTCCACTTTGCCTCATGGAATAGAACATTCAACCTGTCATTTAGTGAAAATATTCTTACCATTACATGCATAAATGTCGATGATGTATCGTACATTTGAACCAGAATGAAGATCCTGTCACAAAATGCAAGTGTGCCATAAGTTAAATGCTTTTACGTTTAAAAGAGATCTTTTCCCCTCGATTTCCACTCCTTAATAACACCCCCCCCAACAGACTCAACAGCTTGAGTCTCTCTCTCTCTCCCTAATCAATAAGATGATCACCTAACATCCAGCTTCCCAGGCGAATTCCACGCCAAAAAAGGACTACTTAAAATGCCATTTGAGTAAGGGGGGGAGGGGATCCTGCATCCATCCTCTATGTGTCAGCAAAGCGACCATGGCAACAAGATGTGTGGAGGCTATGGTTCATATGCAATTGGAACACTGTACTTGTTCCACACTGGAATGCGTCAGTGCCCTTTTACATGCACACAGGTCTGTCTTAACCAACAAGCCTGTCTTCCTTTGCTGCAGATTCTCTGATAGGAGATTTCTGTTTTGCTTGTGCGTGCTGGTCATCCATGGAATTTTGATCGTCGGGGCTTGAGAAAAATTTCAAAAACTATTTTGCGCTATATCTAAATTGCCCTTAAAATGGTTTTCTCTGGGAGGCCATTATTGGTTGTTGTGAAACTGAGGTTGGCGGTTGCTTCTTAAATGCAATTTTGTAAGCATCGATGGGTTAAATGTAATTTTTGTGTCATGGCTGCCCAGGGACATTTTGGGAAGTATAAATTTTGAAGTAAGAAAGATGGAGAAAAAAGTACCATTTGGAACTCTTGTCGACGTGAGCAAATGCCATCTCTGTCCACCCCTTTTTACAGTTTATACCATCGCTGTCTTGACAAACTAACACACAAATGCTGTTTGGGATACACATTGTGAAAATCTTGCAATAAATAATTTTGGTTTCACAAACTGACATGAAGGTAACAGTACGTGCACACTTTACACAGTGATATGTAATTTATAAATTTTGGTTTTCACAAATTACATGTAACACACAAGCATGTTGTAGATATACGGGTACAGTTCAGAAAAAAATACTTTTAAAAAAATACATTTGGGACAAAGTGGCATTTACCCAACAACCTCTCAAACTTGGGAAAACAAAAATGTTTTGAGTACTCAAGAAGGGATTAATGTGGCAGTTCTTGAAAATGAAAATGACTTTGAAATGTGAATTGTCTGCACACAAATATCACTGTGTGTCAGTTTGTCATGTCGGTGGCAATACAAACACATCCCCTTCTGTGAATCTCTAAAGCACTATTGAAGGTATGGTGTTTACGCCTGAGTCTCAAACTCAAATTTTAACTTCGATGGCTGTTATAAGAAAGATAATTTGAGAATTTCCTCTTGCTTGTCTACCGACATGTACAAATTTTCCTTGCACTAAAGTATCCAAGGTTCCCCGACTTGTAGAAATTTAAATGTATAAAGATACTTTTCTTTTCAAAACCACACACCTCTTACTTAAAAAACAAATCTGACTTTTTAAACTGAGTGACTTAATTTTCTCACTTTGTCTTGTTTGTCTAGTTGTGAAACCTTTGTTTATATACCTGTAAATATCTAGCTGCAGCACAGTCACTGAAGGGGGCTGTCTGGAGAACAGTGGATTGACCACAGAATGCGGAGGTGTCCCATTTGTTGGGCAAACTGAACAATCAAAACACTCATGTGAGAGGCGTGCTGCCAGCCAGCCGGTCTGCCACAATGTTGTGGGGGGGGTATATGTGGGCAGCATATATTCCCGCTCAGCAGCGAAGAAAAAAGAATATCCCTCCAAGCAGTGTTTGCACGCACTGTGCAAATGCATCTCTTGCATGAAAGATCTTGGCCAGCTAGCCCCAAGAAATGCATGTCTGTAAAAGGTTCTCGGATTTCTCCTGCCAAATGCTGCCTGTGATGAAAAATCCAAATTGTGTAGGTGCTCATGAGGCATCAGTAATTTAAGCATCAATTAGAGATCCCACCTTCCTGACATCCATTCAAATTATCTATCAACTGATTCATACCTGACACGGAGATGAGCACAGCAAAGGACATTTCTACACACCGTCAAATTATGGAGTTCTTACTGTTCACCACAAGGAAATAAAGTGGGTAATTTCTGCACAATTTCCTCCAAATGAGTGATAATTTTGAACTCGTTTTTTTTGTTGGGGGGGTCAATACTCCGGTCTTGTAAACAGACAATTTAGGGTGTTCCGATGTGTTCCTCTATTCGGATGTGACATGCAATTGAGCATAACTGAACACTCAGTTTCCATTCGTCTGTTATAATTGTGTGAATCAATGCAATCTTCCCACTCACTGCCTTTATTTTTTTTAAACGTGGGTCCTTTAGCTTGGATAACATGCTGTGACATAATCTCTTGGCAGTGTTTCTTGCCTGACCCACATTGCAGATTGATGTCCGACTTCATTAGATCAGACTTCACCGAGCACCAGTACGCTTTAGCTCCGTAGCATTTCATTCCGCCAGGCAGGCGAGCTCAGCATAAATGTTCTGGGAATTAGTGTCATGTTTGCCAGATGTCAGGTTTTTTTTTTTTCCCTGCCCTGAGGCAAAATGTAAATATGAGCTCCTCGATCTGTGCCCGTGACGTGAAAGGCATAATCACCAGATGTTAGAGCAATAAGAATGTTTTTGAGTTGATGATATTTTTATGTTGATGACCCAAGAAATTAATGCTTTTTTTGTGGTGTGTGTGGGGGGTGTTTGTTTTTTTATGTTATAAATATAGTTTTTTTTGTCTTTGTTTTCTTTTTTCTTTTCATTTCATTGTTTATCAGTTCTTTATTGTGGTATTTCCTGTTTTATTCCCCCCCCTAAAAAAAAGAAGGAAAATGAATACAAAGCAGGAGGCTCCTGGGGAAAATTCACAATTGCGGAAACCGACGGAATCACAAAATTGAGGCTGTCACATAGGATCGAGTTTGGCCAGAGAGATAAAGAGATTGGCAGACTCGCTGGACAGTCACAACCACGCTGCAGTGTACTCTGCCTTTATCAGTTTTATATCAAGATTACAGATTTGATTTGATTTGCTGGGGTTCAATATTAAATGAGAGGCAGAGACGGTCATGTACATGCGTGACTTCTTAAGGTTTAGTTACCTGGTAGTGTGGTACTTATCCTTTGACAACCTGTGCCATATATAGACCACCTACAGGAAGACTTGAATGACAACAGCGTACATGCATTTAATGTAATCACTTCCAATAAGTCTTGACTGTGTTTCTGTCATGTTGTGTATTCCCTTGTGGCAAAAGTTTGGCAAAGAACAGTATAAGAATATTTTGCCAGGGGTCTGCTTTGACCATTGATTGTTCAATGGCCTTTGCTTTTAACCCCGTGTGCTTTCTTTGTTGTTTAGAATTGGAAATCTTTTGCACTGCTTTTTTCTGTCAGTATCCTTTATACTTGTCATAGACCGGTATTTGTGACATGTAACGTATGCTTGTGTACAAATTCAGAGTCAGGATGTTGGCATCAAGACACTTGTTATGCTGGATGAGCAGGGAGGTATGTATCACCAGAGGGCATTATTTGTGGTGGCGCCCTCCACATTTCATTCCCATTCTGCAGCTGGTTATGGTTTCTACTCTGTGCAAGTGGGCAGAATCTGAATGGACCACTGGAATTTTGCCTGTGGAATATTCTGGCCCTAGGACATAAGACAGACAGAAAATGGAGAGGGCCCCATTTGTTGATGAGTGGAGACTCTTAACCAGCTCATAGAATACCATGCAGAGCTTGAGAAGTGTGAAATTAGTGCAATCCCCTCCCCCAAAAAGAAGTGAAATAGACCAAGCCATTTGTTGCCTTTTCACACTTCACAATGCGACAGACTAACGTAACTTGTACTTGATTTATCACATTGACATTTTTATTGATCTCTTCTTTTTCCTTCTGTTATCTTGGTTGCAATTTTCCTTTCCCCCGGTGTTTCGATCTGAACTATCCCTTTTCCCATAATGTCTGTTGGTCTCAAAACCTCAATGCCATTCTTTCCCTCGTTCATCTTTGTACACTGTCGCTTGTTTTTATCTGTAACATCCCATCAAACTCCCTCGATAACTGTACTTGTTACCGCTGTCCGTCTTTTGTATGTTCACACACCTTTGTTTTGTCTGTGTTACTGTTTGTTTTATGTCTCATGGTACCCCCATCACCTGTCTCTTCCTCCACCCTGTCTATTACCCACAACTTTACCACCAATCCTCACATGTGTAGAGTAAGGAAGCGGGGATCCGGACTCTTGTTATGTTGGATGAACAAGGAGGTGACATCTTGACTCTTTTTCTTTCCTCCTAACATTCTCTGTTGGATGCCGTGTCGTGGATGTCATGCACCCCGAACATATTTGATTGACCCATTAAATGTGTCCCAGTATGCTTTGTAACCATCCACTGTTTAAGGGTTCAATTTTGCCTCACTGCTGAGTTAAAGATTACCAAGAAAACTACACGTGTAACTGCAATAATTTACAAATTAACTCACTGAGTGGTGTCAAATTCCATACACTCTCAAGCGTTGCTAATTTCCAATGGTCAAAATAGAGCAATTGAAAGATTATTCTATTTGCCGAGCATCAAGCAGTGATGTGAAATTGATCCAACCCCTTTTGCCGCTCTATTTTGTGTTCATAAAAGCTGTATACATGTCATACACTGACGGATGGTCTTTTATGGCTTGTGGGTTTTTCAATAGAATTTTTGAACTAATTGACGTGTATCTGGAGGCGAGAATATCCCACCTCCCTCAAGCTCTCACTCAGTGGTTAAATTAAATTATACTGAAAATGAACTTAAATTACGCTGCTCAAACCATCCAGTTAAGCTATTGTTTAAAAAATTTAACTTGCTCTTTCAAAATCCATAAAGCTGCAAAGAAATTCCAGTGAGATACTTTCAATTACTTTCCTGTTTGTTTACCCTTTCTTCCCGACCATGTTAACTTTCTGGTCATCCATCCACCTACAGTGTTCTGTAGATATGAGATGCTGGGATTCAGATCATTTTTCAGGGGTAACCTTGACATATTTAAAAACTCTGGTGGGACCAGCCATTACAGCTTTTTTGCATTGTTTCATCATCCTGAACAAAGACATGTATACAGCACATTTGATTAAATAGATGTACAGGTATGTTTTAGTTACAGTTTTGTTCTAGTGAAGTTGTCCGATAATCAAGTGAGAACAGTGATGAGTTGTCTCCAATGTAGAGTAGCTATAGTGCTATAGTGTGATTGTCTTGGAAATTGAACAGACTTTACTCACCCGATATTGCATCAGTGAGTTGCTGAGTTTACTTCACTCTTCTTGGCATATTGCATTAATGCTGTCAAGCACCTTTGAGGCAAAGCAAGTTGAGGCTACTTAAGGGGATTCCTGTGGGGCCAAAATCCCATCTGAACAGCCCCAAGCCCTTGTGTCTCAAGATGCCGGATAGCTCTGAATGTACTGTGCAGCTTACAATGACACTCTGCTTTGCTTATTGATGAAGTACCACAGCAGTCGATGCAGCTGACAGATCTGTGGCAATGATTGGAGAAAATAAAAGAAAACAGACAGAGGAGGGCTTAAATTATAAGGTCTTGAAGATCAGTGGCTGAAGTGATACTTCAAAGATAAAGAGTTTCAAACGTGCGGGTCTCTTGTTAGTCTTAATCATTCGTAGATGTATATACCCTTTGCAGTGTAGTGCAACCAGTCACCTGTGTTATGAGAATAGTATTAGGTACACACCTATGTACATGTATTTTTGTTTTCAGTATGTGCCATTTGTTCCTGAGTAGTTTTCTTAGGTAGTACTTTACCCATGTTTTGTTTTTCATGTTTAAACCCTGAGTTGTGACAAATTGTGACTTGTGATTATTGAAAAAGGTTTGGTTAAACTTGAATCATTTTGGGGAGGGGATCATTAAAGGGAAAACTAGTGGTCAGTCATTGATTTTTGGAGCTTTATTTGGAATGGGTAGTGGAAGTACTGCCGGGTTTCGTAGAGAATTATGATTCACGGTGTTCTCTCCACCTTCTCCGTTTGACTGCCGTTTTGTGACAAGATATTTGTCTGTATTTTTAAAAGTTGTGACAACTTATTCAGTGTTTTACCATGTAACATAGACATTCAGAAGATTTCCATATGATTTGTAGGATGATATTTCACTGTGCTTCCCATCACAGAGCAACTTGATCGGATTGAGGAAGGCATGGATCAGATCAACTCAGACATGCGTGAAGCCGAGAAGAATCTCACTGGTCTGGAGAAATGCTGCGGCCTGTGCGTCTGCCCCTGGAAGAAGTAAGGCGGAAAAAAAATGAAAACACCCCCCCCCCGCAAAAATAAAAGAGCAACTGCGAGAAATTATTGGGGGAGGGTACCTTGGGGAAAAAACACCAAAGACGTTATGATGATCACAGCACAAGGCAGCCAATGGCTGAATCAGACCCAGCACTCTATCAAAGACCGATTGCGACAGGTCATTTCCTTTACCAAATGTTGTGAAGGAAATGAAAAAAAAACACCTGAATGTCACAAAGTAGACTTGCCATTTTCACCCTGCACTGGTAGGACCAGACATCTGTGCTCGACTTTTCTTCAAGTTCACCTTACTAATCCGGGTTGAAATGATGCTGAAGATATTGTTGTGTTGACAAGCTCCTTTTGCTGTGCTGTACACGTAGGTTCATGAACTTTGAGACAGGAGACGACTACAAGAAGACATGGAAGTCATCTGAAGATGGCAAGGTGAACTCCAACCAGCCAATGCGCATGGAGGATAACCGTGATGGCAGTGCTATGCCCTCGTCTTACATCACAAGGTAAAGATAGATTCATGTGATCAGAGCAGCCTCTTACATTTATGTGAGACCTGGTTGGAAGTTCTTGTACCGAAACTCACAGCAGCAAAATCTGTGAACATTTCAACCACGGCTTTGAAAATCTGCCCGCATGAATTGTAAAGTTGGTAATAGAGTCCTGCCTCTTGTAGTCTGAACATGGTGTGAATATTGTATCTGGTTTGTAGGGTCTGAAAACAGACGATGCGTTGACCTGATGGCCCTTGACATGCGTCCACACACACAAGTGTGAATTTGCCTGCAACTGGGGACCCCCTATTGTTCCTC